CACTTTATCTTCTTTAGCTAGGATTTTAATAATCATTTTTTCCTCAATCTAATCTGTCTGCAGACAGACATAGATTTTATCTACTCTTTGGCTTGAAAAAACAAAGAGAGAATAAGCACTAATCAAGACAAATTCACGAAAAACTCACTAACTTGAATTACATCTAATGAACTTTTCACTTTATCTGACACACCAAATGTCACCTGTAAACCAGTTTCTTCACTTGTTTCCACAGTCAGAACTTGAGGTGACGTTGGACTTTTAGGTGGTTCTTTTCTTTCTAGAGAAGTGTGATCAAATGTTCTTTCTTTATCTTTAGCAAAACCGTATTGATTTTCTCCTTATTGAGAGTGATTGAGTATGATCTTCCATGCCCCTTGAGCCTTCAATATGTTATTGGCATCTCTTCGCTACCCTTTTGCATTAAGTCATTGTCTCAAACTTTTGGAATTCTGAACCTTGGGAAAATTTAGATGTACCACATGCTCCCATTATTTGGCAAGAGATTTGAGTGATAGTTTCACCATTTTGGGCTTTTCTGCATGCCCAAATGGCATAGTTTCCTTATTTGAGTTAATGTTTTGTTGTGTTGAGTTGTGCCTCACATGCCTTCTCCTTCCTGGTGGGTCTAATATGGTCCAGTGGGTATAATCTGATCTAATTTCTATGGGTCTTTACCTCTTCAATAACCCACCTTAGATCATCAATTGCAAGTCTACTCCTAGAATATAGTTGACTTCTGTCCCTAGCAATAGTCTTAAGACCTGTTGTGTTCACCCCTACAAACATAAGAGGAAATGGATCTACATCAACTTCCATAACTTCTTTAATCTTTTCTGGAAAACGTAGAATTCCTTTGTCAATTTCGTCTTGCAAAACATTCTGAAAAATAAAACAATCATTAGTAGATTGTTTCTAAGAAGTTTGATACTTACAATATTCTCTACTTCCAATTTCGCCAACCATTTGGATTGTATGCCCCGACAGCAACTTAATTAGACCACCCTTTCTAAGGTGGTCACAATTTTCACTAGTCTTTGAGATGTCAAAAGTGTATTATTTTCCAACCTCGCCGACATAACGTTTCACTATCTTGTCAACCTGCTAGGCTATTTTGACCAGATCTAGGCAAACAACGGGCTTGTCTACCACCACCTGTGCCATATCTAGATCAAAGTTGGCATCTCCATAGTAAGACTCATGAGATGCAAATTTCCTTTATGTGTCTTCTCATAGTAAGTTTTCATAGTAGGCAACTTTATAAGACAATTCAAAGAAACCATGAACTCTATTCTGTTAAATTTCTTCCTTAATTCAATGTCTAGACCATTTTGTGCCAACCCAACAAACTCCTATTCTGGAAAGGCAACTTTTCACTGAAATCTAGTGAAGAAGGCCTTAGATGTTTCTCTAGGTCGTTACACAAAACAAGATAAGTCTGCTATGGACACTTTTGGCTCAATGTGATAAAACAGAATATGGAAAAAATATTCCATCTGCCTCCAAGAGTAAGCTAAATTTTATGGTAGACTTAGATACTAAATGAGAGTTATACTTGTCAGAGAATTTAAGAAAAGTCTAAGCTTTAGATTATCATCATTGGAGACCTTGCCACACTAAATTGTGAAGTGGTTTATGTGTTCAATTGTAGAATATCCACCATCTCGAAAAACTAATGTGAATTGAATCCAATCCTCTTAGGAAAGGATTCTCTTGATCTATAAAATCTAGATATGGTTTTCTGTAAGCTACTCTGACCAGGGGCTTTAAAACCGAACCATAAACCTCTAACACCAAATCAATTATCTAATCATGGTTGATGTACTGGTCTGGTAGACCTTGATGATTGTTGCACTAATGGCACATAAGGCTGAAAGTGCTCCTTTTATGGAGGTGCATTACACTGTGGATAACCTTCATTTGGTTAACGCTAAGTTGGCAAATATTTAGATTGCCAAGGATTGCCTAATTCCATCACACATGGTGTGACCTCAACTAATTCTGGCTACACTAGTCCACTTATTACCTGTTGATTCTGAAGGAGTCGCTATGGTAGATTAACTCGCCCCCCAAGTGCTAGAGTTAGAATATTCTAGTTCTACCTATGAAGATATACTGCTTGTAGTTGAGCTTCAATGTTAGCAAGTTGAAATACTTTCTACATCTGTTCTGTAGTAGCTAAAAAACTTTCCAACTTTCTGCAATTTTCTCTTGCCAAACTTTTACACTTTACTCAATAGAATGTCACATGTTGGTTACAACATGGACCAAATTCTAAAAGAACTCATCAAATTGTCTAGCTTGCTCTTGGCTTCTTTGCTGAGCTCTTTCTTCAAATTCTAGCTATGTCCGCCACATCATGCTAATATATTCTGACATAACCTTTGTAAGGGAGTCACTTGATTAAGCACCATCATGTTCAAAGTCACTATTCTTGTTGAAGGTTGTATTGACAAAAGAGTGTTTCCCAAATGTTGGTAATAGTGGTGGAATGACTAGTTTATTCTTACCTTTTGAATGTGATGGATTGCCTTCACTAAGCCTCCTCTTAGACAAAGGAAAAGTAGATCTGAAAACTGTAAGTGAGACACAATAAGATGCCAACCACAAAAGGATTATTTCTTAAAAAATCCTCAAGCAGCGCCGCACGTCTAGAATTTGAATGCGGATGTGCCACTTGCTTTGCTATCAAGTAAGAAAAAAGGATTTTCCCAACGACCCTCTTTTTCTTCATAGTCAACCACCTTGCGAATGGCTAGAAGAACGTTGATTTAAAATCAAAATCTACGCCTTTAGACGATTTGCAAGATGAAGGGATGCCTTCCTGTAAAACAAGTTACTAAATCTACTTTGGACAGCTCTAAGGACTTAAACACTATTGTAAATTAAAGTTAACAAATCCTAATGAACTAAATGATATGCAAATTAAACTAAACTTGCAAAATTAAAGATGCATCCAAATTAAACTAACCATGTTCATTGTCAAATTAAATTACTATCAACAGACAAATATGGAAATCAAATTACCACAAAATTGAAGATTTAACCCTAAATAATTAAAAATCTAGTATGAACAGAGGTTAAATTAACATGTCAAAAATTTAGAAGAAATGTGAACGTCATATAAGTAATCATTTAAAGAAATGCTACTTATCATAAACATTAAACTAATACCAATAAAAAAAAAAAGAACAGTACCTTGCAGAAATTGAAAAACTTGATGTTCATTGCACAAAAGGAAATCGTAGAAGCAATTACACAAACTAATTTGGCTACTTGAATGCCAAAAACAACTCAAATCTACTAAGATCTATGCTGAAAACAGAAATTTGTAGGCAAAAGTGTGTGATCGCTATAAAAATTGAGATTCAAAAATTTGATGAGTTATTTCAAGGGCTGGCTGTGTGTTGAATGATAAAAAAAAGTTCCTTTTGTTTGCCTCCTCCTTGCTTGCAACTCCCCACTACCAAGCAGTTACACAAACATGGGTGGTTTTTTTAAGAAAATGGACACCTCAACCATAGTCTAAGTTAGATTTCTATTTAGATTTTGTCATCTGTCTTTGTTATCTACCAGCTCACAATCTTAAGTAAAACAAACTCCTAAAAACCAGCTAAAGTAATTTCACCATGACTCAAATGGGCAACTAATGGATAAATCTCATCTTTTTAACCCCTTCCTTTTTCTATTTTTAATTATGTGACATCTGATCTACCAGAGGCCCAGAATAGCATATCTGATGTGACTCAATCTCTTCCAACACCATTTAAAATAAATTGACACATGGCATAATCCTAACTCTTGCAATTTATGGTGTAAACAATAGCATACCAAAATAATAAAATAAAAGATTTTATAAAGTCAAGGGCCCACAAAAAATAGTTTTATAGACATACATTTTTCAAGGTCATGCTAAGAATACTTTTATATGCCAATTAGATTGTTATTGGTTTGTTTTGCATGAATTTTTTTTTTTTTGTTATATTTGTTCTTAAGAGAAGAGATGTTGACAATATTTTTGCTACTAAAGCCTCACAACATAACATAAAGACAATGTAATGTATTTATTATGATATTTATGCTGAATTCCAACTAGCAAAAAATCAAAACAATTTATTCTTCCCTTGTTTGCCTTTTTATTGGATTTTGGTTTGTTATTTTTGGTCTCTGTTGTTTTAAAGCCTAGTATAGCATTTTAAATTTAAAGGATAGAGGGTATCAAAGCATATATTTAGTTCATTATTTCATTAAATTTAAAGTTCTTAATCCATTATCTTACATTATGGAGTTTTTAGCTTTGAATTTAAAATTTGAAAGATTTCAGCTAGTAGGCCATGAATTTTGTTAAATCTCCATTAAAGTAAGAATAAAAAATTTACAGAACCAATTCTCAAATATTAAATTATTGACAATTTAGTCCCAAAAGTTTAAAAAAATTAGTTAGTTCTTTTTTTTAGATTGAGCTAATTGCTTGATTTGATTACAAATATCTAATATTGTTCTCTTGTATATGGCAAAGTCA